CTTGAAATTACAAATTATGAAATCTTAATACTAACTTTTATATACAAATAATTTGCGTGTACAGGTTAATGCAGGTGAACATAATCCTACACAGTCTACAACAGCTTCTATTTGTCTATCGTCATAGTATCTATCCAGAAATATCAATCCAGAGCTTAGTCTGCAGTATTATCTTATTCCAGTGAGCATACAATTAATCTTATAATTATTCTTAAACATTAAATTAATTATTTGGAGGTTATAAATGATGAAATCCTACAATTTTCTTATATGCACGCACAAGTAAATTTATATTGAAATTTGTTTAACATTTGTTACAGTATAATACCTGTGTGAAAAGTATTGTCGAAAATATGAATAATGCACGAAAATTTGTTTCAAATTGTTTGTATTGTAATGTTTTTTTCCGATATTATATTTTTAGAGGCTGTTCGTACCATTCATAATCATATGACGGACAACGATATAGCTGAGTATACATCAAAATGGCTTGCCCAAGCTACCTTAAGGATTCATAGAGAAAAGTATATATTTTAAATAATAGTATACATGCGTGCGTGCGCGCGCACGCGCACACGCCACACACACACACACACGCGCGCGCGCGCATATATATATATATATATATTATTTTTTTATGCGTTTTACTTCTTATGTAAATTGTTTTAGGCATAGTACTCCACATGATGAGAAAGATGATCAGCAATAATCGGGACGAAAATATATTTTTTTAGAGAAAGGACAAGAGTGAAACAAAAAAAATTTTTATTTTCTTCAAGAGCTCAAAAAAATAGAATAAGTGATATAAAAATTTATTTTTTTATATAATACACTTTATAATCATTTTATAAAAGTTTATATAACAAAGGTTATTTTTATTTTACATATGCGTGCAATATATATGCGTGCAACGTATATATGTTATATAAACATGTGATACATTGAAAGACTGTGCAATCTGTAGAGATACGAATATGAATATATGTTCGGAAATATGAATAAAGTCAATTTGCTTATGTCTACATACAACTGTTTTTCTGTTTAAATGCTCATATTCTTGCGAGAATGTATATGTGTGCTCTATTTTTCATAAAAATTATACGCTTCCACTAATCAAGTTTAATAACATCTACAGGTGTAATTATTGATTTAAATTGCATAAACACTAATTTATGTCATTGTTATAACAAATGACATATGATACTTGATAAAATATTTACACAACATTTTATGATATATTTATTATAATTATATTAATGGATGTTACTAAACTAAAAATTAGTGGTAGCGCGTGAAAACCTATTCTGTTAAATGAAAAAACATTCCTTTTGCATTATTATACATATATTGCATTTTAATATTGCTATGATATTACAATGTAATCTTTCTGAGGGCGGACATTTTACCGTTGCTGTAACATCATAGTAATGTTACAGTCATATTTCGCAACGTATTTGCAATGTTGCAATCTTGCAATGAAATATTTCTACAATGTTCCTGCAATGTTTCTGTGCTGTATGGGAAACTTATAAAATAAAAACAAATAAGATTTAATGTCATTAATAGGGCGAAAACAATGATATTTATAATTACAAAAATATATGAAATTATAAAAAAATATTCTTGTACTATTTGAGAATAAATATTTGTATTTGGTATACATTTTTTCAATAGCCAAGAATAAAATTTTACGCAAGAAAAGAACGATATTGAACACTGTCTAGTACGTTTCGCAACTCATATCTCGATGTCATAACCACATTAAACTCATTAGTGATAATATCGGTTGAAGGCGTATATGTGTCAAGCAAGGCTGTGATATCTATGATGATAAATTGCGTGTTTGCAATCAATTAACAACGAAAAATCAAGAAAGCGAATGTTTCTTACAAATTTGTTCACGTGTTTCACAAAAAAATTGTCACGAATTTGCATTATTAATTCATGCGTGTAATTCATATACATGTATGTGACACCTAATATTCGTGTCAATAAATGTTTCAATGTAATGATTGATCGATCGTCACTTGGCTCTGATAGCGCAAGATAAAAGAAAGATGGATAGAGATACATAGATAGATGGATAGAGATACATAGATAGATAGATAGAGAAAGAGATGGAAGAGAGAGGGAGTGAGAGGGGGTGAAAGGGTGAGAGGGAGAGGGGGAAAGAGAGAGACAAAATACAAAAAAGAATAAAATAAATTGTCGCCGATGTTTTAGAAATCTGATATTTCTTAACTTGATGAAAGCTTCACATTACACCAAAGATAATTAAGCAACTAAGAATAGCAATCAATAAGACGATGCAACGAATTAAAAGTTAACAGGGAACAAGACGATGTATGAATGAGAGAGAAAGAGAGGGATTGTGTACTTGTGTGCGTACGTGAACGGTATAGTAGGAGGGGTTATGTAGGTACATATATATCGGACGCGGCACGTCCTCTCGCTCTCCTAGTTTCTATCGCGCGGGTGAGAAGTGAGGAGGTCGTGGTGGGTTGTGTGTACATTCAATGCGGTGTAACGTACGTTATATACTTCGATACATCTCCCAATGCGGCGAACGTGCCCGAGTAACGTACTGTGCCCGTCGTAATAACGTAGCGTGAATTTCGGCGACGCGCCGTATTTAGAAAAGTGCCTTCTGTCATTAAACGCCTTTCGCGGGTAAAATGGTAAGTTTATTCGTCGTGTTGTGTAACGTGTTCTTCTTTTTTCATTTTGCCACTTAAAGCAATTCTGCTCACTATCTTGTTGACGATTACGTTGTGTAACTTGAGTACTGAATAAAATTAATGATAATAATAAGTTTCTCGCGTCGAGATAACACAATCCACGCCTTAGTTTCAGAGAGAAGGGATAAGACTAAGACAGCACACGACAAAAAAGACATCGGCTGAGTTACCTTACGAAAATAAGATCGCTTCGAGGAAGCAAGATGTACTGCCAAACGAAACCCAGCATCTCCTTTTTGTCCTTACGTTCTTTCTCTTTATGTCTTTCATCATAATCGTAGTCGAAAAAAATCTGCCTGAGCCAATAACTATCAATACCGAGGGATTTCACTCGGGAAGATTTGTAGCTGAACGTGCTCGTCATCATATTGTGAATCTTACATCAATTGGACCTCGTATTGCTGGCAGTTATGAGAATGAAGTATTAGCTGTTAAATTTCTGACGACAACGATCAATGGCATAATTAAAGGGACCCATGAGAACCACAAAATTCTCTTGGATATCACAAAACACAGTGGTGCATTTCCTCTTAAGTTTCTCGATGGAATGACTAATGTTTATAGAAATGTACAAAATGTTATTGTCAAGATTGGACCTCATAGGCCTACGATACACAGCTTATTGCTTAATTGCCATTTTGATACATTTTTTGAAAGCCCAGGTAAATAAACATTATTGTATAATATATAGGATAAGTTGTTTCTTCTATCTACTTCCAAATTTCTGGAAATTTTACATCTTATATGTTAAAAAAAAAACAATTTGATGAGAACTAATGCAAAATATTTGCAAACATTTATTCAATTAATATAATTAAATCAAAAGCTAAGCATTGAACAGTTTTCTTTAAGAATCATTCAGTTTGTGTTTAATTAGCTCCTAAAGAAAATCTGTTCAATGTTCAGTTTTTGACTTAATTATATTAATTAAATAAATGTACAAAAAACATATATGTATTTTGCACTAGTTTTTATTGACTTGTTTTTTCTTTCTTAATTTGATAGCATTGGCGATGTAACTGATTTTCTTATAAATTAAAACTTTAGGTGGTTCAGATGATGGAGCTGGTTGTGCCATAATGCTAGAGATTTTACGAATAATTAGCCAAAGCCCAAAAATATTAAAGCATAGCATTATATTTTTATTCAATGGAGCAGAGGAAAATATATTAGAGGTACATTTATTTCCAGAATTGTGTCATAACTAATTAATCAGTTGAAAGTTAGGTTAAAAAGTTTATAACTCTTAACTTATCTTGATTTTTTAGTTAACTTTTAATTTAAACTATTTGTTATTTTGAAATGCATTTTTTTATAAGTTAAAATAATGTATCAATATTACAATCATTACTTGCATGGCTTACTTGCAATACAGAATACAAAAAAGCAGAATTTTTGCTATATTCCTGAGCACCAAATTCTTTTCTTATATCATGGAATTTTGAGCACAAAATAGTCAATATTTTCTTGTAAAAGAAACTTTTTATTTTACATAAATTTAATCTATGATTAGAAAGTTAATTATGTAAAAAACACATCGCTTTAATTAATTTCTAACTTTAAAAGAAATTTATTTGATTTTAACTTAATTTTTAATTAAGTTAATTTCTGTTTATATAATATCTAATTTATTTAAGTTAATATTAACTTTTAATTAAGTTAATTTTTGTTTATATAATATCTAATTTATTTAAGTTAATATTTTATAAGCCACTAACTTTAAACTTAACTTAATCAAGAAGACATTAACTTACCTTAAACAACTTTGCTTATTTTACATATATTATATTTTTATACTTATCAAATATATCATAATATAAATTATTAACTATTATATTATTTCCAGGCATCTCATGGCTTTATAACTCAGCATCTCTGGGCAAAGGGAATACGAACATTCATAAATCTAGAGGCGTGTGGTGCAGGCGGTCGCGAGCTATTATTTCAGGCTGGGCCACATAATCCTTGGATTCTTGAGGTATACTATCTTACTTCAGTTTCTTTTTTTACGATTATTTGCTAGCATTATCCACTAATGTCTACTACATGTTCTTCAGGTTTATGCTAAATCTGTGCCATATCCTTATGCATCGTCATTAGCTCAAGAAATATTCGAAAGTGGTATCGTACCTGGTGACACGGATTTTCGGATATTCAGAGATTTTGGAAAAGTATCTGGTATGTGTACATATTTCAATTATCACACAGATGTGTTTTAATTAGGGTTAATAACTAATCAATCAATTAAAATCTAGTTGTCTAAAAGTTAATAGCTTTTAACTTAACTTGGTTAATTTTACATGGGTTAACTTTTAACTTTTACAGAAGTTTACTTTAAACTAGTTATTTTGAAAATGCTTTATTAATGTTATATTAATTGTAACTTATTAATTTTGTTATATAAGTAAAAATAATTCATCAATATTAAAATCGTTTCAAACTGCATACAAATAAAATAAATATAAAAAATAATGCCAGCAAAATTTTTACTTTTTTGAGCGCTGATGTTCTTTTGTTATATAAAATTCTGAGCACAAAACAGTCGGTATTTTCTTATTTGCCTTTGATTGATTGATATTGATTAAATATGCGGAATGCACGTAGAACTAAGAATAAATAAATACACACGCACACACACACACACACACACACACACACACACACATATACACACACATTTTCTTTTTATTATTTCATATAAATTTAATCTACAACTAAAAAAATTATTTATGTAGAAAAACCTATTGTTTTGTATAATTAACTTTTAATTTTGATTATCATTCCTCTAATTTTAACTTAATTTTTTAATTAATCGTTTGAATTTTTTGTTTATGTAATTTTTAACTTAATTAATTTTAAAATCACTTCAGTTTTTATAGAATCCTTAAATTTAACTTAGTTATAAAGGAAAATGAATTTATCCAACTAGTTTTGACACATTGCTGTTACAACAAATGTATTAATATGACAAATAAAATTTGTCTTGAACAGGCCTTGACTTCGCATGGTCAACCAATGGTTATGTGTATCATACCAAGTTTGACAATGTTGATCAGATACCACTAGGTACTCTACAGAGAACTGGTGATAATATTCTCGCTTTAACGCAAGGAATAATATCCGAAGATTATTTATCGGACACGAGTGTTCACGGAACATCAGGAAGTCTCGTGTTCTTCGACTTTTTGGGTGCATTTGTCATTCGATGGCCGCAATACATCGTCAGTATAATCAATGTCGCCAGTATGATTATAGCTGGGTACTCTATCCATTTGAATATGCAGAGTGCACGTAGAAGTAAGAATAAACATATATATACATATATAATCATTATTTAGATCCGGCCAACAGTAGACCTCGATCGATATACATTTTCTTGAACAAATCCAAGTAATACAATCGAATTCTGCGTTATCGGATACAGATATTAAGAGATCGGTGTACGCGAAACATGTGGCGATATGCGTGGGAGCAATCATCGCTTCGTGGATGGTATCGTCATCCTCTTGTACATTAGTCGCTCTGACGTTGACCAAATTGGGAAAGGTAATGAGTTGGTATGCGAGACCGGCGTGGCTGTTCTTTTTATACGTTTGTCCGACCACTTTCATGTCAATGATCGTATTCCTGTATGTAGGATCGAGACAGGAAAAGGCAAGTGAAATAGAGATACGTTTCTCATCTATAACAATTTCAACTCACTTATTAAATAATATAGTGTGTAGTTTCGTACATTAATAAATGCGTTTGTTTAGAAGTTCATCGTAACGGATCAACAACAAATTAATACTAATTGGTGTTTGTAGGAAGTTAACTCTGCATGGATTTTGTTCCAAATGTATTGCGATGCATATGCTATAATATGGATGTGTATTCTATTTGTATGTGTTTTATTTGAGATACGATCAGGCTTCATACCGTTGCATTGGGTTCTATTTCCGGCAATTGGGAATATTATACGACTCAATTTCTTCGGCAAATGTAGAGGTAAGAATACTCGTGACAGACTTTGTGATATTTGTCACCCTACTCTAACTCTACTAGTATCGATGAGATTTTCTTTAAACTTCGAAATACTCATGATATCTTCATCAATCTTGTAGATTGGAGATGGCTTTGTTACCATTTGATAATACTGAGTTTGTCTTACATACAGTCGTTTTACTTAGCAATTGGAGCTCTCTATCTCTTTATTCCCATAATGGGTCGAACCGGTAGCAGTATTAATTCCGAAATTGTAATGGCTATCATGTTGTCGATGTTATTCTGCCTATTACTCAGCTTTACGGTACAAGTCGATAATATTATTCGCATGACAATTCTGCTAATATTTGATTTGCATAGACCAAACTCTTGTAATACACTAACTATAACTCATATTTTAATATTTCCAGTTACCAATAGTGCTGCTAATAAAGAATGCAGAGCGAATTATAAGTGTGATAATCGGGATATTCTTGGTCGCTATTGCTGTGTTAATTTTAACACCACTCGGATTTCCTTACAGTGGTGATCCATTGTCGCCCGCTGCACAACGATTTATGATAGCGGTAACTTAGATAGGTTCTTCTAGGATCTTTAGTTCTCGCCTAATATTTCGCGTGTATACTATTTGTGTTATATACATATTTAATTATTACTTTAATAATTAATTATTGATGTAAATATTACGTTATTTTGTAGTATATTTATACAGGTTGTTCTAGAACAACTTCCAAAACTCTCGTGAAGGCATAGTACGGATTGAAGTGAACATAAAAGTTCTATACCGTTTTGTGATATTCGCAGTAATTATCGAGATATTAATTAAAGAAGATTTGTGAATGATCATGCGAGATATGATAAATGAGCCGGTGATTTGCCACCGTGTGCTCGTACATTAAGTTAAACTGAAAAAAAAAAAATCTATCTTTTTCCTAATAACTTTATAGATTTTTAGTTATTAATTAAATAACATTAATATATTATCGTGAGCGACCATTCGTCAATCTTCTTTAATTAGTAATTAAAAATCTATAAAATAAGAAAATGGTAGAGGACTTTTTTGTTCAAAGAACTTCAGAGATTGTCTTGAGATACTCTTTGTACATCTGTACATCTGTATATATTTATATTGTTGTATTAATATATTAATAATTGTACATTATTTTTAATTATTAAAATTATCTTTGATTTACAGCATAGTCATCGTCAGTATTACAATGCAGATGGTAGCCTCAGATATTCTGGTACAGGATATTGGATAGTGGATTTTGATATGAATAGTCCTCATAGCGTGGAGTCGATAGTACCTGAAGTGGCTGCCGCAACGCCAACGGTCAGAGATTGTGAAAAGGAATTATATTGTGGTTTACCATATTTAATGCCGGTCACAACTTTCTTATGGTATGTATACATCGAAACCAATAGCATGTTATCTGGAAATAAACGCACGAGCTAAGATGATATCTTTTTATCAGGAGAACGAGTTGGATACCTGGGCCCGCTCCTCTTATAAACGTTCCTACAAATCTTGAGCTCATTTCAAAAACACGATACGCCGATACCATTTTAAATCAACAACACCTTATTAATTTCACATTTAATGTTACAGGTAACTAACTCACTAAACGTTTATATTTAAGAAAAAATTTATATTTAAGTAAAAAGAGGGATAGAAGTCTATATATAGATATTAATCCTTAAATTTTTAGGTCCCGATCACATAGGTATAATTTTGTCCCCTTACAAAGGTGTTCATCTAGAGAAATGGACTGTAGTTGAAGGGAAACCACTTCAAGGTCCAATGTGGAATGACAGAGAGACTTATTTTATCTATTATGCATGTGCCTCAGATTGTGTGCCATATACATTTTCTATTGAATTAAATGTAAGTTTAAACAAACCTGAATGTATTTATATATTTTATGAAGCGTTAAGAGTTTCGTATTACTCGTTGAATTATACATCCAGGTATCCGCAATGCAGAAAGGGCCATGCTTGTCCATCGCGTTAGCTGGACATTTTTTACACGGTGAAAACCAAAGATCTCTGAGATTCAAAACCTTTTTGGCACAATTCCCACCATGGGCTGTTGTTTCCCCTTGGACTGCTACGTATAAGTCATGGGAATTTTAACAAGGATTTTATCAAAGATTTTATCAGTAAGATAGTACGGTAAAACAGGAAGCAATATCTCACGGCGGATCGGCCCGTGTTACGGAGTAGCCTAACTAGAGAGAGAGAGAGAGAGAGAGAGAGAGAGAGAGAGAGAGAGAGAGAGAGAGAGAGA